CATAGAAGGAGCTTTTAAGAACAGACACAGGGCGGCATAGACGACACGCTATGCAGCTGGATTCAACCGATGCTTATAAACATAATTATTATAGCATCACATGGTTCAGTGACACGAACAAGTTATGTAAGCAGAGGGACTCCTCAAGGAGATGTCCTTTCCCCGCTTCTATGGAGGAGTAGCTTATGCAGACGATATAGTGTTATTGGTATCAGGGCTGTTTACTTCCACAATCAGTGAGATTATGGAAAGAGCCTTACAGAGGTTACATTTAGGGGCCGCGAATAACGGACTAGGTATGAACCCTAGTAAAACGGAACTGTTGCTATTCACGAATAAAACCAAAATACAAATTATTTTTCCTGCAACTGCAAAATATTTGAAAGTAGAGATAAATACCAAACTGAACTGGAAATTGAATACTGAGAAACGTATTAGGAAAGCCTATTTGCAGTCTTACATGTGCAATAAGATACTCGGTAGAAACTGGGTCTTTAAACCAAATGTAGTCATGTGGATGTATACGGCCGTCATTAGACCAATTCTTACATATGGAGCACTGGTTTAGCGGCCAGCATTAAATAAACAATACAACATCATAAAACCAAATGGAATTCAGAGGGCAGCCTGTGCAGTGGTTACCGGGGCATTTAAATCAGGTCTGAATAACGCTCTAAATATGCTCCTGCACCAACTTCCCATAGACATTTACATACGGAAAGTGGCAACACTTTCTGCTATAAGAGTTAAGGAGATTGGTGGTTGGAATAGGAAGAGTTATAGACATAGCGAAATTCTGAACCTCCACGATACTTTTGGAAATAAATCAGACTATATGCTCCCCAGGTTGAACGTCGATAGTGTCTTTCAGGTGAGAAAATCCTCTAGACGTGAATGGAAAAGAGAGTACTACGGTCCAAAATGTACTGCGGTGTATGGACGGGGGTATACTCGGAGGATATCTCTTTATCTTTCTACCTACCAAACTCAGCTATCATCTTTCAAGCGGTAGTACTAGGAATAGCGAAGGCTAGTCGAGTTTTCGGGAACGAAAAGGCAGACAAGTTGGCTAAGTCAGGCGCCTCTCTAGCCGAATCCAAGACAGAGACAATACCGAGTCCGCTAGAAATGATCAAGAGGGAGCTCAATAAGCAATTTGAACAAAAAGCGTAAAATAGATGGAAATCAACAAAAAAATGCAGGGTAGCTAAACAGATATGGCCAAATTATGACAAGACAAAAACTATTGACTTATTACATAGGTCCCGGATAAGTATATATAGACTTACAGAAATATCACAAATCAGACATCGAAATTTTGGAATCCATCAGTTACCAAACCTCGGATGTCTATCTACAAAAAGTATAACTGAGCTAAATAGTTTCATTGAGGCACCAAACCTACACAATGGAACGTGATATCAAGATATAAGGTCTTACGGTAGTGTATCAAAATGGAGCTCCCTCTTACTTACCTACCTACCTTCTCGTCAAATTCCGCAATGAAATATCTTAAAGAGGTAAATTTCTATGTTGTAGGGTTAGGCTGGGTTAGTGGAACACATCAGCATTTAAGTCAAAAATGATTTAAAAGTACCGAAGGCAACTAAAAGACACATTATTACCAATTTGTCTACAGTATTTCGCAAGTTCTGGAGTCCGAATACATTGAATATATTTTACTCTTAAGGAAATATGCACACTGTTTGAATAATTTACCAAAATTGATCTTAAATAAAATCGTTATTTTTTAAATATGTTATGTATTCTAAATTTCTTTATGTTTCAATTTACGATCTCTGTCACAAGTTTGGGCAATGCTGCCAAATACTTTATACAGTGATTTCCAAAAATGTGCTGAAAAACTCCTCCTCCCAAAAATCTTCCTCACCGCCAGACACCACTCCTGTAAATCGGTTGGGGGTTCAAGGAACCCAAAATGATTATTAAAGCATATTGCATTTTCTAAATGTACATTGTTTTTACTTATTTATAAAGTAAAATATCTTCTGACTTGCAAGTGGACCCTTAACCAACTCAGTTAAATATTGAATATTCTAGCAAAAACCCTAGAATACACAAGAAAAAATTCAACTGTACACATTTCGAAATCTCCATTAGTTGTTTTTGCAAATCTCAAGCAAATTTCAGAGCAGCCAACTATAAATAGTCCGCCTCACCTTGGCATTCATTATATTCGCACACAACAGCTACGAGCGAAAAATTACCATTAATCAAAGTAAACTGCAGACAAATGCCAGCAGCTTAACGGTCTTATGAGTCCACACAACATACAAATATATACATATATCTGGGTGTACAAGTAAAACAGGGATAAGTGCAACACAGCTACAAATGTCTGCATACGGAAAAGTTTTGAGCATTGGATATTAAGCGACGACGTCAGCGGCTAACACGCTCTTAAACTCAACGCTAAGCGTTAGTGCAGCTGCCCTGCAATGCAACGCTTGTTGAAGCTAATTCCTACAGCGACAATAACATAACATTAACATGAAAAAAACGGACCAAACAACAACAACTGCAGTTAAAACAAACGTAAACAAGACATACTCTCAGGCGGTCAACTGCATAATCCGAACGAGCATGTTAGAAGCGCACAGCTCTTGCGCTTATAACGGTTGTGGATGTTGTTGCACTTACGGTTATTGTTATTGCTTTCTGTTTGCAAGCGCCAGATTTCAGAGACCAAGTAAGAAACTGCTTGCTATATTTTTTTTTTTGTTTTGCGTTGCAGACAAAAAACCGGTTTACCAAACACCGTTACTACGACCGTGCTGCTGCGTTGGGGAGACCAAATGATGTATGTGCAAAGTTGCGTTTGTTTAAGTGCGGCCAAAACAAAAACACAAAAAGAAATAACAACAACAACAACAACAAAATGGCAACTAACTGCAATAACTCTACTGTTAATGACAAAAACAGTAGCAATTATGCACACACACTATTACATAGTTGGAGAGGGCTGCAGACACAACTTACACACACACGTACATGCACGCAGCGAAAGTGGTGCGTAAGGCTTGCAAGTTAGATACTAGTGTATACTTAGCAGCATTAACAGGATAAAAGACAACAACAACATCAAGCACTTTCACGCAATAGCAGCAATTACTAAGCGTTCAACAGCTTGCAAGTGCAGACTAATGCCAGCGCTAACGTCGAGAACAAGGGTCAATAATGTAACAAAACCGTTGCAACGGGCAACTACAACAACAACAACCAAAGTAGCAGAATCGATTGCAAGATCAACAACAATTACAACAACAGCATGTTTATAAAAACATATATACTAATGAGATGCTTCTTATGTTGGCGCACTTGCGTCAGCATGTTGCAACTTTGTATGCCATAATTTAACACTTGGTGTTGCACTTAATGTAGCCTGACACCAAACGTTGCAAAGTAGCTCGAACGAGCGCGCTGTGCTCCATGCAACCAATATGCCAAATTGCCGGTGGTTACAGTACATTGCGGCCAGCATTGTTGCATGCAACATATATTACCAAGCTTGTTTAACAGCCTTAACGATGTGTTGCACATGCAGCAAATGGTACGCAGAGCGTTTTGTTGAGAGTAGAAAGTAGAGAGGAGAAAGGTGAAGGCGATGTGAAGACTGTTCTTGAGATTCGGTGGAATAACATAAATATCTCTTATATCTATCTTTATATCAGATTAAACTTTTATATATTATATTATTGTTAAGAGTGGTATATGAAGCTTTTTAGAAAGTCCTCATATAAAATAAATTGATTATGTTGGAGTTGAAAGGTATATAAAACTGTCTTTTTCCTCTCATCATTATCAGGCTTTTTTCGTATCAGATTAAGCTTTGACCTAATGATATTTACACTTTGAAAAGCTTTCATGTATTTCCTTTAAGGGGGATTATTATAATATTTAGAAATATCTGTTTATACGCGTCTCTTTCTAATGCACTTCAAATTCTCACAACCAATATTTTTGCTCTTTAGTAACAATGACTTTGGAAATATTAATGAGCTTTTATAATTTCATATTCTCTTCAACATGACCTCAATGTCATGACATTTGCAGAAGGTTCACATATAGAATAGAAGTAAAAATATCTCCCTCGTCCCTAACTATCGAACTTGCATATCAAGTTAATAAAATAATAAAAAATAAATATTGATGAGCTTTCACAAACGCATTCTCTTTAACAACAATCATAACATTTACAAAGTTATCCCTATGGTATCTTTTTTTGTTTCACTCCAAAATTCCAACAATCACAATTTGCGCCCTTAATACCGAGACTTTTACAATATTCATGAGCTTTCATATATTCTCTTTAATTCTGCTTAAAACGATATTTAGAAATATCTCTCTATCATCATCGATAAAATTCAATATATTTCTGAGCTTTCACAGAGTGTATAAAATCTACAAGTGATTATTAAAACATTTCGAAGTATCTCTCTATGAAAATTCTCTCAATCAATATTTATTCTTCCTTGGCAAGCCATAGTTGAGATCACAAATTTAGCACCCTTAAAATTTATTTACTTTTTAACTTACCGACAGGACTTTCTTCATTCCAAAAAGAATCATCCAGAGTGTAATCAGCCTCTGCAAAGACAAAAAACCAAACACAGTCAAACTAATTAGCGAATGCATCATTATAGTATTTACTAAGTATACAAGTGCAACTATTTTGTATAAATACATTAAAGCAAAATATTTTACGTTTGCTTCGATTGCTCCTCACACCCCACTTTTACTAAGCTCGAGTTACCTACAAACGTGTAGTGAATTGCATTTTTATTAAATTAATATTCCGTTTCTGCAAGCTAACGACAATTAAGTATGTATTATTACATAAATGCAATTCCAAAAACTGTTTATGCAAAATGCAAATGTTGCTACACAAACGAAATTGCAGTTCCACTGAAAGGGCTTCATTAAAAATCCATTTCAAATTGTGTAAAATCACATAGCTACACGAACTACTAGCCTTCTCGCACTTCCTTTGTAATGTAAATTCACTCGAAACAAGGTAGCGATTCTGCACGGTAAGTTGCAACTAACTACCGACTAATTAACATGGCAAATAAATTTGTAATTATTTTCAAATATTTAAAAGGAGAGGCAAGTGCCAAGTTAGTGCGCATGTTGGCCGAAATGAGTAAAGTCTTTAAAGAAAAATTCTTTATGTAAAATATGTACTTGTAATTCCAATTTCAATTAGAAAGATAACTGTAGTAGTAACAGAATGGTTGTTTTTTAGTTGCATTTGAAATTTTAGTAGAAGTTTTAATAATAGTTGTATGTGAAAACTCGATTGATCTGCCTATTACAGTGCAAGTATTCTGCAATGAGATTGAGTTAGTTGTACTTATAATTGTAATTAAGATATAAGGTAGGTGTATATTATTATCATGATAACTGTACTGGAAATTCTTATAGTAATCATAATGGTATACATTTTACGAATTCTGATAGCAATTTTAATTGGTATTCTAATTACAATTTTAATTTCTATTAAATTTGTAATTGTAATCTTAATTGTAATTGCAATCATAGAATGTAATTGTAATAGTAATTATATTTGTATTCGTTATACTAATTTTGAAGGCACAGTTTTGTTTTATAGGAATTTAAGTTGTAATTGTAAACGTAATTGCAATTGAGATGGTAATAATATTTGTATTTGTAATAATAGTTAGAATTGTGTTCGTTATAAAACTCGAATAGCAATTTTAATTGTAATTGCAGTTACCATTTAAATGAATTACAATTACTTTAATGGATATTGTAAATTGTATAGTAGTTATAGTTGTGGTTATTATGGTATTTTAACTGTAATTGTAGTAGTAATCATAACTTTAATTATAATAGTAATCATTATTGTAATTTAATTACAACTTTCATTTCAAATTTTATTATGAGTGGAGCTTGTAACATAAATCGAAAATTCAATTGTAATCGTGAAAGTAGTGGTATTCGCTTTAGTAATTATATCCAGTAACTGTAACAGTAATAACCTTTTCATAAATTTTTAAGTCAATTTATAATTTTAATTGGTTTTAAATTTAAATTTCGTAAAAAAAATATATATTGAAGCAATACAACTGAGAGCGAGTCCTATTAGTCAAAGATACGCACTGCCTTTAATTGCTATGTATAAAATAAGCGCGATCTGTCAACCACTTATTTTACAATGGAACAAATATTGAACAAAGAATTTGCGTAAAATTTTGTGTGCGGAATCGAAAACCCAAATCTACGAATGGTACAAAGTATTTAAGGATAGTCGAAAAACCATCGAAAACATGCCTCGTTCCGGTCGTCGTTCGGCGTCTACCACTGACAAAAAAATCAAAAAACTGAAGAAAATCGTGCTCAAAAATCGTCATGCGAGTGTTAGATGGATAGCACATAAGCTAAACATCGGTTGTGAAGCAGCTCGTTTGACTTTGACCGATAATTTGGGCATGAGACGCGGCAATGCTCGGCTTGTTCCAAAAGTTTTGGCCCCATGCAACTTTTTTGTTTTTAAAAGTCAAGTTACCACTCCGTGGAATCCGTTTCGACTCGATAGAGGCCGTAAAAGAAAATTCTCAGAGGGAGCTGAAGGCGATCCCGGACAGCGCCTACTAGGCATGTTTCGATGATTGGAAAAAGAGGTGGCGTATGTGTATCGCTTCAGAAAGAGCATATTTTGAAGGCGACAAAATAATAATTGATGAAGATTAAAAATATTTTATTTAATTTACAATTTCCGGAAACTTTCTGGTCACAAGGTATATAACTACATTTTTTAAAGTCGAACATTGCTTGTATATAAAGTATTGGTGGTAACAACATTTAAATTTAGATTAGTTCATTAAAATCTTGAAATTCGCATTTAAGTGAAGCCTCTTCGCGAATGTGAGGAAATATTTCATTTCATAACTGTGATTTATGATATGCCAATTAATTGAATTTTTTTACCTGTGATACATGTGAGTATTTTCAATTGGAAATATATCTGTTGCTTGGCGGCGTATAAACGCTTTAATTTATAACGTAGTTCGATGATAAATTTCAAATCAATCAGCGCGACTTAGTGGCAAGGCGGCAGCGCATATAATCACGCAAATAATTGCAATTGCTCGCATTTACACACATTTTCATACATATCCGCACACTTTCAAGTATGTTGTTGCAACATAGCCACACATTTGTAGCTGTCACCAACAAAATCGCAGTTCATGCCACCACACAAATTTTTGTTGTCAGTGACGCAGCGGAATCTTGACGCTTGAGTAGAAAACCACATTTTACTTCACCGCAAAAATTGCATTTAGGCTGGCCACAAATTGCAATGCGCGCACACGCCCACACCCACACACACATACACGCACTTGACTACACTTGCACTTGAAAAAGCAAAAACGCACAATCATTTCTACATTCAATTGCCATGGTGTGTGTGTTTGAGTGTGTGCACTTGTAAATGGTAATAGTTGTGCAAAACGCATTAGCAGCGGCTTATGAGCACTTATGCTGCTGCCGCTATCCCCTCGGCCTCGCCAGCCAGCGATGTCGTGCAACCGCAGAAGGACACTACAGCAGGCAAAAGGAAAAAGGATCAACGGCAGCAATGCGGTTCGCCAAGCACCAGCGTCTGGGAGAATATATTTATATCCTTGTGGATTGCTGGCTGGCGGAGACGTGGGCGAAGTGGAAGATGGCGCAAAAACACTCCAGCGGCTAGTGATATGTCGAATGGGAATGAGATCAAGAATGATGGTGAGGTTATGTGTGTGTTTGCTTGCAATGGGCGCAAATGTGCCACTTGACGCCACAATTTGGCACTTGCAACATGCAACTTTGGCGGTCGCTGCCAACACAAGGACACACTTGAATGATGAGTGTGTTGACGTGGCGGGACGAGCATGAGGTGGTAAGAGAGCGCGCATTGCCGTATAACACACAAATATTAACATGTATGTATGTATGTATTAGTGATGGGAACATATATATTTCCCATTTTGTGCCAAGGTGGCAAGGTGGCAAGTTGCGCAGCGTCGATATTTGTTCGCGCTGTGCTTACGAATGCCAAGCCAACCTAGTTTACAGTTACAGCTGAATTTGCTGCATCACCTCAGCGCCTCCTCTTCTCCATCATGCAGTTTTTCTTGTTATTCTTATACCACTCCACCATATGTAAACATGTATGTGTGTGTGTGTTGTCCCAATTGGTTCGGTTATAAATTCAGCGAAGCGCGCAAGCGGCAAATATGCATACTCCTCGCATATTCGCAGCCAGAGCGTTCAAATCATGTTAGCCGCGTTGATGGGTACAACGAAAGCAACAAAACAACAACAACAAACTCATTGGCAGGGTTAGAGCAACGTTGGTGGTGGTGGCGTAGTTAGTTGCGGCGGAAATGGCAAAACGAACATTGTGTGCTGAGTAAATCCACTTGCCATTTCAATCAGATTGATGTCTGTAATACAGAAAATCTATTTCACGCTCAAACTGAGACTGGATTTAATCTCTACACGCAAGTATGTCTACGTACTTACATAGATGATTTGGTTTGTAAGCGTATGCATCCAGGCAAGCATGGGTGTGTGTGCGAAGCAATCAGTGTGGCAATGCATAACGATATCACGCATGACTTTAGTTGCAGGTTTGACAACATGTCTATGCATGCCACATAAGTATTTGCTTCAAATAAACATATCTACTAATGTCACAATACATTTACATCCCAAATGAATGATTTATGTAGAAAGTTTGCAATTAAGTTGTTGTTGCAAACGACCTTCAGCACTTCGGCTGCGCACAGTGTGAGCATTTTGTCGCCCTCTGTGGTAAAATATAAATTCATGTCGTTGAATTTAAATCAAAAACTTTCGAATGTATTTGAATTAGCCTTGAGCCTTATCGGTTATAAATTGGAATATATTCGCTTTATTTGGAGACCTTTAATGAAAGTACACTAGTAAGCACACAAAAAAAACGATCCCACACTCAGCGTTCGAAACTTAGAGGTTAGGGGTAGTCAGAATTTTCAAAAAATCAATTTTTGTTTTGCATTTTCATAAAGAATGGTATCTTAAAAATATTCTCTGAAAATTTTAAGTAAGTCCGACAAATACTTCTCGAGTCCTTTGATAATAAGTAAAAGGTGCTCTGGAACTTCAAATGCGTTTTTCCAACTGGGGACCACTGCAGCTCGAAATTCGCTCGATTTATACAGCTGTAAAAAAATCTGTAAAAAAAATTTTCCGTAGGCCGCCATTTTGTTAATTAAAAACAAACAAAAAAATAGATACGATCAGGCAATATATTATCCAATTATAAAACAAATTTTTTTAGTCCGATTGATTTTGGTTGAGTTTCTAGAGATTAGTGATGGAAGCAAAGGCGGATTTCAAGTTTAAAATTTATAAAAAAAAAAATTTACTGCCAAAAAAATATTTAAAATTGCCATTTTTCATGTCTGTGACTACACCTAACCTCCTAAGCCAGTATTCAAGTCAGTTAACAATTCCGTAAATCAAGACCTCCACTACTATAAGGTCTTATAAAATATCTATGTTGATACACAGATAAAATGTCAGACTACAGAACT